ACCTGTAGTCCCAGCTACTCAGGAGACTGAGACAAGAGGATCACTTGAGCCTAGGAGTTTGAGGTTACTGTGAGCTAGGTTGATGCCATGGCATTCTACCCAGGACAACTAAGTAAGACTCTGTCTTTAAATTAATTAACATCATGACTGAGACTAGCACCCCCTATTGGTTTATTTCATATAAATTCCCTTATAACTTATGGACAATGTGAGAGAGCAATGTGAAAGGATATTTTTTCCCAAACATTTTATTATGAAAATGTTCAAACATTCAGAACAGGTGGATTAATTATTTAAATAACATTCATGTATACAGCTCAGCTGACAGTATATTTGCTTTTTCATATATCTGCATATTTTCATCCATCTTTTTTTCTCTTTTTTTCATATTTTCATCTTTCTAATCAGTGATCTTACTTTTTGATGTGTTCAAATTGCAGTTGTAAGTGTACTTCCAAATACTTCAGCACAAATGTTCACTAAAGTTCAGTATTTGTTTAAAGTTCCCTTGTGCCTCATCTTGGTCAGTTTCTGCCCCCTTTCTTCTGTATATTTTTCCACTATAGATTAATTTTGCTTATTCTAGAATTTTATACAATATGCAATATCCTTTTAAGATTTCTTTCAACATAATGTTTTTGAGATCCATCTATATTGTGTCAGTAGTTTAATCCTTTTTTATGACAAGTAATAATCCATTGTATGAATATACCACAGTTTATCGGTTCTTCTATTGATGGACAACTTGGCCATTTCTAATTATTGGTTCATGTTTAATGTGGCTCAAACATTTATTCAGCCAACAGCACAGTTACTGTGCTGGGCACAAGGGTACACCCTCAAGAAGCTCATGGTCTAAACAGGGAGAAACATAAGTATGCAAACAGTTCCAGTTTGGTTTAATAAATGCTAAGTAGACATAAGGGGATCTAGACTCTTATGGAAGCCTTGACCCATACCAGGGCAGGGTAAGAATGGGAGCAGGGCTAGAGAGAGGAGTACCTTTTGTGCGGCTTCTGCTCTCAGTCTTAGCTGTCTTCATTTTTCCCCAAAAGGTTAAGACCTTCAGAAATTGGCACCTTTTAAAAACAGGGTGTGGCACTGTCTCTTCCTTGGCTGTTTTAGAGCTTACAGACCAGTCTTAAACATAATTTAGCACAGAATTCCCCAAGCAGCACTGGGAAGAAAACTTATACTGCGGTATGTTGAGGTTGATGGTCCTGTGGATTTGGAAAAAAAAAAAGTATTCCATGGTTCAAATAAGTTTAGAAAATGCTAGTCATACAGAATTTCTTCCTGCAGCACTATTCCTGCCAACTATTTAATATGCTAATGTGTATTTTAATCTCCAAAAGAGGGATATAGTTCCCAAACTCGATTTACCCCATAATGTCTTTTAATAACTTACAGAGTTGATGTTTTTCTGAGCAATTTGAGAGATCCAGGCTGGCAACTGCAGATTTGTTGTATTAAAGCATGATCCAATTCCTTCATGGTAAAAATGCCAAATTTCATTGGGCTGTTTCCTTAGTTCTGCATGGCTAATTTGAGAATGACAAGTCCCAGGTAATAAAGAAGTGTCCTTGATGAACTCTGATCATCTGAAGAAAAAACTTTTCTCCATGAAATATTGTGTTTTCCTCTATACATTGTCTCTTCTGTTTAGCATGTAACTCTGGTTCTTGCTCACTGGTACACATACTGGACATAAAAATAGATGTATTACCTCTAAAGGGCTGTCTGATTGATTTAAGTAACTTGCTGAAGAAGGTAATGGAAAATTGAACACAACTTCCTTTCCCAATGGTTTCCTATGATGAAGTTAAAAATTATTTGAAGTGGAGCTCTAGAATGAGCTGTAGCTTGTATAACTCAGAAGATTCCTATTGCTGCCAGGAGAATAAAAGGTTTCCAGATGGAGTAAAGCTCCATTATAAGGCATCTCAGGATATTATTGATTTGGTAAACTTGAGAGTCCAGTTACATCTCTTATGAACTATAACATAGGAAAATAATCACACAAATATAGCCACGGTGTTTACCATTTGTGCCCCAGCACAATTCTACTTAGACTGAAAATTATGATTTATGTGATTTATGAATAGTTGTCCTCATTCTTTATGGTCATTCTATGCATACAGTATACCTTGTTGTCGACAAAACAAGAATAAATAGTAAGATTTGTGACATGACTCCTACAGGATGCTCTCTGCAACCCCAGATAGTTTTTCTGCAGTGTTAGTCTCATCATCAAATCTCAGTTTCTCTTGTCTCTGAAGTGATATGGATGGCGTGGATGACCTCTCAGAACCTCTGTGTCTTTCAGATTCCTTAAGTCCAATAATTTGAATGAGTCAAAGGATCCCTCCATCCTTTGGCACTTGGGTGCCTATTAGGTTGTTGAGTGAGTCAAAACTTACTAATGTAATAAAGTAAAAATTACTTTGCAGCACACAACAAACTCATATTCTGAACAGCCATCTCTGACAGTCAAGCTGCCGCCCTCTCCTGAGCCCTAAGAATCCTGTAGCATTGCCTTTTTGAGAACTGTGAGGCCATCACACATCTGTAACACTGATAGCAACTGTCATTTCCTAGCAGCTTCTACATGCCAGGCACAACACTAGTGCTTTACATATGTTATTTCTCCGAATCCTTAAAACTTGAAAAGTAGGTGGTATTCCTATTTTATGGATGAGAAAATATAAAATTAAGTGGCTTTTCCCATGGTTACCCAGCTAAGCAAGGGTAAAGCCAGGGATCACTCTAATCCTGAAGTCCATATTCTTCCCACACCATCAAGTTGCTTCTCAGTATACTCCAAAATTTTGTTGGAGTTTGAAAATCTTTGCCAAAACATAATCCAGGAAGCACTGTAGGTTCACCAATTTGGACCATGTTTCTCATACCTTAGGGAAGAGAGACTCTAGGCTGTTTCCTCCCAGTTGCCTTTGGCAAAGAGTTGACCATTCTCAGGGTGCAAATAAAGTCCTTTTGGTAAATTATGATGTTTTGGAGATAGTGCCCTTCTCTTGAATATGAAACATGACATTTTTTCCCCCTGTAGTTATCTGTTCTATTCAGGAGCAGGTTCTACAGCTGAGATACATTGTAGGTCTGGTAGTACTTACTTGAAGTACTTGGACCCTTAGTGTTGTCCAATCTAGCTTCTTAACCCACTTCAGAACATCTTAGCAGACACATCTGTGTTCATCACTTTTCAAATTATGTTACATTTCAGTGAAGAAATCAATACACAGGCTCGGCGCCTATAGCTCAACTGGCTAAGGCGCCAGCCACGTACAC